CACTGTGCAGGCGCAGCACCCATATGTGTGATGCACAGAGGCCATGACGAAGAAACATTGAATATTTCAGTAGAACTTTTAAAAAATGAACTATCAAAAATGTTTTAAAGGCAGTGAACTACCAAGACAAGAGGAACAGAATTCCTTTAAAGCATCACTGATGAAATAACCACAACAGTTAGCATTAGCCAGGAGCAGAAGCTAATCATTATGTTCCTCCATGAGTGTGCAAAGATGGCCCCAAAAATCCATGTTCCTCACTATGGTAAACGTTATGTTCAAAGGAGTTTAGTACCTGGAACAGAACCACTATTGAAGATCTCAGAGTCTGGGGATATTATAGACAGGTCTCCATTAGACTGTGGTCATCATGCCGTATATAAAGCACAATAAATTTTTGTTGCTATACATTTTTAAACATTCTTTGAAAGAACATTAAAACTACCTGACACTGTCCACATGCATTATGCTTAAAGTACAAAAGAACAGGTCTCTGGCTCAAAAGGCTTAAAGTCAGAGAGAAAAAAAAATTCAGTAATGCTTGTTCTAAACATATTTAGAAAGAGCTATGATGGGAAATGTAGTCTGGGGCATTGTGCCAAATGCTTCATGGAAAGAATGTTTTTGAAAGAAGAGACAGCACCACAAGGGTATTCTTGGAAGGATTCCCAGCCTTACAGGGTGACAAGTGCAAGATCATTTAAGGGAGCAGTAGGCCACCTTTAAGTGGAGTAGAGTTCCCTGCCCCTTTTCCAGTTACTTGAAGTTATTGGAATATTACTAATTAGTTGCAAAATTGAACTGGAAAAAAACAGCCTGCATCTTTCACCTTCAATATTCAGGATACATTGATTTTAAATGAAAGGATAAAAGGAAGCAGAGGATGGACTGGAAAGAGACTATTGATTCATTGATTTAATTGTCATTCAGGTAATTCCTAAACAAATGTGACAATTAATTAGTTGATATAACTATGACGAAGTGTTCATTTCTAATGGAGAATCCTTCTGCTATCCTGATAGCACAGTTTATCTTGGTTTATATATTATGGTACTTTAGTATGAGTGCAAGATTTTCACCTGGTAGAAAACTTCCCCAGTATTTCCCAATCTCCCTCTTCCAAAGGGTCTCCCAAGCCTAAATAGATGTTCATGGTCACAGGCAGCTGCAGAAGGAGAAAGCTCCATTGCTGAAAAGAAACTGAAGTTAGGCTGTAAGCCACAATTTCTTTAACATTCAGCATTACTTTTGCTTTAGAAAACAGCCTGTTTAAGTGAATGCACTCATGAATTGTGTCAAATTACCTTCAAATAACAATCAGAAGTACACATCAAAATGTGTAAACTATATTATTTAGCATAGATGATTCTGAGGGCATAGAGTATAGAACTGGAATCTACTGTTTGTGATAGCTTCTAATAAATATAAGCTTTTTAATAAATATAGTGCATACTTTAACCTCAAATGTCAGGTATTTCCCCATGTTTCCTCCTTTAATTCAACATACTTGATACTCAGCCATCCATTAAACTGAAGTCACAAATGTCATATCAAGACACTCTAACTGTATTTGCTTTACCTGGGCCTTACATACATACCTGCCAGCTAATAGAGACAAAGGAGTATTTTTCAGCTGAAGTGTAGCTGAATTAAGCCTAAAAGCCCTATGTAGTATTCTATGCCACCATAAACAAAGAATCAACCAAGTCATATGGGGACGATCATAAAAGCATGGAAGTAACAGAGCTTTTCTGAACACAAATAGGCATTCTGAAGTCAACTGCTGTCACATGAAAGGATATATAAAATAGAAATGAATGAATGAAATTCATTAACAATTTGTCCTTGTAAAGGTGGGAGCAGGTCACCTATGAAATTGATCTAACTGGCTCAATGGAAATAAAGGAAAAAAGAAGCCCCCGTTAACAGCTTTTACTGATGAGAGAAATTGTAGAAATTGTTCCATTTTCAAACAAAAAGACATTAAAAAGTTAAAGCCAGGTAAAACTGTCTTTAGAAATGAAGTTTTGATGGATGACTGAGTGAAGGACAGAAAGATAATGCATTATCTTCAATTAATTTGAAAAATCAACTTTGACGGAAATGGATTGCTTCCATTAGCAGAACATCAATGTGGCCCAGTGTGTTGGCTTTATGTCTTCATCGCAGCAAAACTTATCCATTGAACATTCTCCTTCTTAGTCTCCATTTTTGCTCTGTAAAATGGAAAAACGCATTTTATGGTCACATTTTATGATCACTGCTAGGATGAAGAATCCTAGCAGTGCCTTCTGCTTACTAAAGTTATGTTTTTAATGTTTTTGGTTTTATTAAAATTGTCCTTAACAGTTGTCCCTCCAGAATTTACTTTAAGGAAAAAGATGAGAAGCAAAACTGAAATCTAACCAGGCCTTAATACTGTGGGCTTGCATTTCCTGAACAGTAGCCCTCTCCCTATCAGAATAAAGATCTTTTGAAACTCAGGAATGCAAATCCTGTGTATACATGGAAAACATCCCTACAACTCAGTATTCCCCAGCTGGCATGCCTGGCTCAGTTATGCTGAACAGTTGTAGGGGTTTTTTAATGTCTAAATATGCATAGTATTTTGCTCTGAGTTTTAAAAACCAGTATGACTGAACACAAGGTCGCTGCACAGTGGAAAAATGTCAAAGATGCCAAGGACCAAGTGCCTCCTCAACAACTCCAGGACAGTTTTTGAACTTATGTCTAAAGAAAATATCAGGTAGTTAACATGTTTCAAATAGTTAAAACAGAATAAATTAGCATGGCACTAAGATACGATAAGGTTGTGGGACATGTTCAGATTCTGTGCATCGCTTCAAAGGAAAAAACTTACATGACCAGATAAGGCCTAACTCTGTGCAATTGTCTGACTCACACAGGTACAAAGATTACACTGCGATATTTTTTATATCCAATGAACTTTTAAAGGAGTTGTTTACTAGTGCTAGGTATAAAAGATGATTGATCTTTGGGAGCGATGAACGCTTCACCTTTGTTGTTGAGAATTCCCTTTATTCAGAATAAAGTTTGCTCCTGTTGCCAGAAAAAGAAGAGAAAGAGAAAGCTCGCCTGTTGTTGTGTCTTACTGGGACTGGCACACCAGAACTAATCCTAGCCCTTTGCTACAGGTGCTACAGTGACAACTGAATTACCAGTAAAGAAACCTACCACCAGCCACCCACTAGCCAGGTCAACAGCCAGACAGGAGGCATTAACTCACCAGCAGCACTGCACACATACAACTACAAAAACTTCAGAGCAGAATGATTTCCAATCTGAATCTGCTTATTGCTGTGCATTCTCTGTGAACTATTTAGAAAGTAAGGAGAAATGGTACAGCAGGGCTCTTTGGGGTCCATGGAGATAGTTAGAGTTTTGATGATAAAGTGGTGGTGAAGGGGAACCACAAAATGTCTGAGAGGTGTGGCTAGTTAGAAGATGGCCGACACTGGAAGCATTCTGTCGGAGAAGATGGTGCCTTCTTTGTCCTTACACACACAGGGTGAAAGAGAAATTTATGTGTACATAGCTCTAGGAGAACTGCTCCTAGATGAGAACAAGAAGGAACCAGGTCAAGGATGAGTGTCTGAGCTGCATCTTGAAAGGGTCATCCTAGGATAAGGTATGAATGCAGTAAGGACAATTCCTAGCTTCAGAAAGGGATCTATGGGAAAGTTGTCAGAAGATGAGGTAAACTGTAAGTTTTGTTCTAATTGTGTGCTGAGCAGTTCCAAGGTGTCTGCCCTACATGTGTAATATGTCAACAGACTTGCATGCTGTTTTCTTAATAAGTATTACTGGTTTGCTTTTCTTCAATCTATTGTGGCCTGTTTCATGCAAGATCTAACAATGGCAAGTTCCTAACTGTAAGAAGCAAGATCTACCACATGAATATTCATTAAGTGTATGCTTTCATATGGAAACTACAATGAAAGCTTACAGTCTGTCTAGCTACTTCACATGACGACCACAGATCCAGTGCTTGTTATTGTATGCAATATGGATCTAAAGCATGGACCTATATGCTCTTTAAGTGGGGTGCCAACAAAAAGAGCAAACAGTACAAACCAATGGCTAATGAAGGGATACATGATTTGATGGCAATTTGTGGAAAATCCCTTGTAAAATTCAACCAGAACTTAAAACAGCTGAGGTGAACTGCCCTTATATTGATGGGAAGAGCTCTGAATAAGGAAAAGTGATTTGGCAAGGGGGAGAAACTGGACCATGAACTCATTAACCCCAGTGTTGAAGTCACAGGAGGGAAACAGTACTGGGCTTACAATGCTTCGATAGTCACAATTGCAGTGGTTACATAGATCCTTGTTTTCTATGTTAAAATGGCATCATCCCTATGCTCATCACTTTACTCTTCCTCTTGGTTTCCAAGGTTCCCACTGCCCAACTGCAAACCCCCCCAGCTGCTGACCACTTCAGGTGCCACCTCAAGGAGCCGCGAACCCAAGGACGCCTTCGTGGCGCCAAAGGCCTGCGACCAGCACACATTCCTGCACACAGCTGCCACCCCGTTCTGTGCAGGTAGCAGTGACAACAGCAACTCCTAGCAGCAGGCAAGCTGTCCAGAGCCAGACCCCTCCCCCATGGAAAAATTGTTGTGCCTTGCAAAACATAATGTGCTTCCCATTCTTTGTCCCACAGGAAGCCAAAAAGACCCACCCTGGCCTTCGCCACTCCTTTCCCTAGTCCCAATGGCATAGCTTCCCTTTCTTTTGGAGGGGTATTCTTTTATAGCTGTGCCCAGCATTGAAGAAAGCTGAGAAGCTTGTGAGGCCCGCCCTGAGAACACTGTACCACAGAACGTTAGTGTAGGAGGAAAAAAATGTAACCTTTCCTTGTCTTCAAATATTTCATTTTCAGTAGATGTAATATTTCCAAGTACACAAAAATGTTTTATCGATAACACAATAGAGCAACAAATATCTTGAGTGAATTAAAAATGTTTTCTCCACCAGTTCCTGTTCATACCCATTTTATTCTTAACACTAGCCAGATAAAAATCATGATTCAGACAATTCCCATGCATTATCTAGTAAGGAGCTGTTCATTATTATGCTTTCCAAACCTCATACCCCAAACCCACCCACCAAAACAACTTATCCAGTATTGAAATAGAAAGTACAGCTGGGAAGAGTAGGGTAGACAGAAGGTGAAGGAATTTGAGAAGAAATGCAAGTAAAATATAAGTGTTTAGGGCAGTGAAAGTGAGGCTAGGCATTAAGAGGCAATTGTGGAAAGCAACAAAGGATATGTATTCCCAATTTCCCATGATATGCCACGATTATGCCCACATTACTGGTGCAGCAAAAGGAGCCAAGACAATTGCTTTGTCACTAGTTTGTCCAATCACTGCTATAATTCGCCGTTCTCATTCAGATGCTGGAAATGTTGCAGTCAGGTCCTCATGAGCCATGAGATCCAAACTTGGCTTTTATTTGAATATCATAATCATCCCCCTGCTACATGGGTTGTCATACATTTTGTGGTAGCAAACTCAGGCTTTTAACTGACAGTGGACTTGGCAGGATGCCACAGATGATTTTGTCCCTCACCCCCAGGGCTCACTTGTATATTGTGTTAGTACTTCTTTAATGATCAGGGTATGCAAACTTTCTATCCTCCACGGCTGCATCAGATTTGTCTTGTGGTGATGCAGTCCATTCAGGTATGCATGCACACACCACTCACTCTCATATAAATGCACATTCAATGTACCAACTGATAAATTAACGATAGAGGATACCCTGTCACAGATTCTGCTAGAAGAGACCAAACCTTGGGTTGCAAGTGTTGACTCCCACTTAAAATGTAAAATATCTGTTAGCCATTTTTGGCCCACATTATTTATGTCTTAAAATATAAACTCTGATATTCAGAAGTTTAGAAAATAAACACAACTTGTTTACACTGGAAGCATTAGTGAAATAAGTGCAAAGGTCTGGATGATAATGAGACCTAGCTATTTTTGAAAAATGTTTACTGTAACTGAGTTTGAACTGAGATTACACTACAAATTTAACATAACCACCTCTTAATGTATGCCAAAACACCTGAAGGTTCAATTCCCACCAGCATGAGCTAGCAGAGCCAATGGTGAGGGATCATGGGAGTTGTAAGAACATACCTGGAGGACCAAAATACACTTATTTCTCCTTTGGCTACCAAAGCCTAAGTGATCAGGATGGTTTCTGTACAAAGACTTTAATCTTCCACTTAGATGCTTTTTCCAGAATATGAATGGTTTGGATATTAGCTATAGGCAACATCTTGAAAATTACGGTTTTGGCAGTTTGCTGTGTCTTTATTTTGGTAACTGGAAGCTATCAATTCTAACAGTTCAGTCCTACACATATCTACGCAGAAGTAAGTTCCATGATGCAAATGTCAATTCTTAATTGCATTTTCTTTTTACTATTTGAACCATTATTGTAATAAGAGAATTGTAGAGAAAGTTGTTTATTTTACAAATTTAAATATAAAAGTGAAATGTGTTGGACGTACCTAGGAGAGAATGTTACATGTAAAAAAAGAAAAAAAAAAAGAATGTCCAATTCTGTACCTCAAAACAGAACCTGATAACGGAAGATTCACAGAAGAGCAACAGGTCTTTGTAAAAACATCACAGCTATACTTCAAAAAAGTATAAAATATTTCACATGGCAAATCTTCCCTACCCAACACTCTCCCCAAAGTATTAATATATGTAAACTGTGGAAAATTATTCATAGTATAAAAGGAATGCTCCTTTTAAATCCTTTCAAGGATGTCCAGTAGTACTACACAGTAGTTTCATGTTTCCATAACCCAGTCCTGATATTGCCAGTACTGTCAGCACTCAATAAAGTTCCCTCCTGGGTGCTGCTTTTCAGCGGCCCATTCTGGACAGCCAAATTTAAACCATAGGACTTCTGCTGTTCTTCCAGCTCGACCACTATTGGTTTTCTCAATACATCCTTTTTGAAGTTTGTTGGTACTGTCTTTTCGGTGTTCCTGTGGCCTTTTTGAAGAGTGCTACAAGCATCACTGCTGTCTTGCTGGGACTGGTTATACTGCCGTTCTCTGTATGCCAGATAAGCTCTTCGGCTCCTCGAGTGCCCTTCACTAATGCTTTGACGAGTTTTAGGCAAGCCATTTTGGATGCTTCCCTCTACACTGGTGGGAACATCGTAAGCATACTCCCGCAAGACTGTCAATCTGCTGGCACGGTGCCCTTTACTTCTGTTTTTGTGATGGCGACCTGGGTGTCCATTTGTCCGTAAAGGTACCTCTAAAGGGGCCACATGCATTTTGATCTCATTGTCTACTGAATGTTCAGTAAGGCTGTTATCAAGTGGAGGGCCACTATTCAGTGCTAAGGAGCCCGGAGGACACAGAGCTGCTGCAGCCTGTATGTTGGTTAGTTTACAACCTTGAGAAGAATTTTTTAAGCTTGATGCACTTTTATTAGTACATGATGACTCTGCGCTGCTATTGGTGCATTTGGCAGGTTCTCCATTTGTCCCACTTGCACTAGAAGAGGGCTGAATATTAACTTGTACCGAGTATGTGGTCCTTCCTGGGCAGCAGGTTGTTATCCAAGCATGTCTGACATCTTCTCTATTTACACAATGATGTATTATTAGAAAACCACTAAGGCTTAAACTCATAACTCCAAAAAAGCAGCTAAATACCAAATCCAAGGGGTAAGATAAAGAAACAGCAAAGGCCCCAAAAATCCACAGAGCCACATACAGAAATAAAGTGAGGCTCACACCCACAAGCTGAGCATGGAAACTATGTTCATTTTCCAAAGCTGAAGTGGAAACCAGCGACACAGACATTGAATCTTGATGGTTCAGGTTGCCATGTTCATTGGGTGCTAAACGTTGCTGCTCCTCAGCTGGCTCTTTAAGCTCAAATTTACGCTCAGGATGTCTTTTCAGTTGTATGAATATGCTGAGAAAATACATGCAGTTTACAAAAATAATGAAGCTAGCTGGTCCATAAAAAGCTCCCAAGCTTGGTTCCCATGCCATCCAGCAACTGCAACAAAAAAGATGCAAAGCCTGAGAAAGACATTCATTGTCACATTACCTTTAATAATTCAACCATTTCAATTAATTTAAATCCATTTAATTTAGTTGTGTAATATAGATGTCAGGCCCTACATCCAGCCAAATACACATCAGTATGACCATACTCACTAAGCTGAATTAGGTCTGCTTCCATAATTCCTTATATTTGCAGCAGCTGTTATCCCACAAACTATGATGGGGATGCCTCCACCAATTAGGTAGAACCTAAAAACAAAGCAGATAACAAGTAGTGGTTGCAACAATTAGAGATACACTTTGCCAATTCTGTGTGGTACATCATTATTAGGAAGGTCTTGAAACCTACAGTGCTGTTGAAAAACTGTGTCTCAATTCATGTGCATCAGCTAGAATATCAGCTGGACAAAAGCATTTAAGTGAATTTGACCGTCAGTGTCTACTGTTCACTTACCATTAAAAAGGACACTGTCCCACTGGTTCTAAACGAAAGCAATAAGAACATCTCCGCCTTTGTTCACCATCGCAAAATCCTGCAGTGGCTCTCTCCTTGCTCAAAATGCAAGTTAAGGAAGAAACTGCTGCTTCCCTTTATCTACTTTGTGGACTAGCAGCTGCTGCAGCCATTATGCTTCTTTTTGTGTGGTGTTTCAGAGGTAAAGATATGAACCAGGGCTATGTAAAAAGAATTGCTACTTAAGTGTAACCTATCAAACACGTATTTACCTACAGCTTAGTATGATCATGTAATTGGAAATAAATTCCACAGAAATTAATGCATTTTTCCCAGTGTACATTCAATGGTAGCCTTAATTAGGTTTTGAAGGAGCCATACATGAAATGCAAGAGGTTCATTGTAATACAAGTAGATTTTCTTGTTTCTTTTCTTTACCTTTCTTTCTTTTGGTTTGGAATTATTCTAAGAGGCAAAGAGAAGGTGAATTTTGGGTTTCAACTGAGTTTGAAGTTGGTATTTCCCCCTCCTCCTCCACACACATTTTGGTCTGGGCTTCTACTTTCTTTCCCCTCTCTTAGGCTGCTGAGCTACCTGATTCAGTCTGCTACTGTGAGTGTCTCCCCCCCCACCCCCCCGCAACTTTTTTTAACAGGGGATGGAGTTGTGGCTGCTGGCTCACCTGACTCAGCCTGCTATACTAAAAATCTGGGGTTTATGGGTGGGGAAGAAAGTTCTGATTCTTGTGAGTGACCAAATTGCATGAACAAACAGGGTATTCAAAATGTAACAAGAGAAGCTACAGAGATTCACACCAACTAACTGCTATTTTCTCCTACTGATCCATGTGGAAACAACTGATGCAGCCTCAGGAAATGCTGGATATTTCTCCAAAAGACTATGAGAAGATCTTGATAAGGAAGTGCAGGAATTAGAAGCACAACTCATGTTTTCATCCTTTGCATCATGGATCAGAATGTTAGTAGGGAAAGAAGGATAATGAAACTGAGCAGCTGGCCATGTAGATGGTATTGCTGGAACACATTTGATTTCATGGATGGCCTATGATATCACTGTGAAGGGCTAAATAGCATAAACACTGGAGGAGCTAGAGATGTCAGAGAAATCCGTAAGAGATTCAAATAAGTTTGGATTTCTATAAATATGACCTATGGACTAGCTTTTCTCAGTTGTGGACAGGCCTTGCAGTTCTTGAAGAGATAAGTGATAATACACATTAGCACTAATAAAAATCAGTGCAAGCAGAGCTGAGGTCCTGTTTAAAAAATCCAATTCCATCCATGAGCAGATAATGGAACAAGAGATGCCTGACAATCTGTGAAACAGAAAGAATTCAACAAAATCCATTCATGCCTAGCAGAAACCTCTCAAATCTGATTACGCGCCCGAAGACCGCGTAAGACTGCACCGCGCCGCCGGCTCCGCCGCTACCTGACTGCCCTGCCACGCCCCTGCACACGTGGCAGGTGTGCCCGGACGGGGTGGGGCGTCGGGTGGCCGGCGGCTACAAAGTGCTGCAGGGGGGAGCGCCGGCAGGAGGAACAACACCTGGCAGGAGACCGCGCCCGCGCCCGAGAACCGCACCGCGCCCAAAGACCGCGCCGCGCACGCGCCCAAAGACCGCGCCGCGCACGCGCCCGAAGACCACGCCGCGCACGCGCCCGAAGACCGCACGAAGACCGCGCCGCGCCGCCGACTCCGCCGCTACCTGACTGCCCTGCCACGCCCCTGCACACGTGGCAGGCGTGCCCGGACGGGGTGGGGCGTCGGGCGGCCGGCGGCTACAAAGCACCAGCAGCGGCCGGGGCCGGCGGCCAAAGGGCGTCGGCCAAAGGGCGGTTTGCCGCCGTTTGGGGGGGCTGTTCGGGGGGGGCTAGGCTGGCCAGGGGACTTGCTCTTTTGTTGTGGCAGTCCCTTCTGTTGAACGGCCAATTTTAAATGTTTTATAATTTTAAAGTGTTTTAACTTGTTTTTATGGAGTCGTCCCTGGCCATGTTGCCGCCTGAGTTTCCTGGGGAGCGCACTGGCGCCGCCATTGGTGTGGTGATGGGCAATGGACGTAATAGCGGTGGGGGCTTAACGTGTCCGCATAGAAGAAGGAGGGACAGATGGCTGACACCTGTCCCTACTTCTGGTTTTGCTCCCAGCCAGAAGGTGCCAGGGAGTCTTGTCAGTCGCCCCTCGGGCCTGACGGTGCTGTTGTTTAATGCCAGGTCGGCCAATAACAAATCTGCCCTCATCCATGACTTGATTGTGGATGAGGGGGCCGACCTGGCCTGTATAACGGAGACCTGGGCGGGAGAGGGGGGGGATGTTGCCCTCTCTCAATTGTGCCCGCCCGGGTATCTGGTCCAGCACTGTTCACGGCCGGAGGGGAGGGGAGGGGGGGTCGCTTTGGTTTACCGGGCCTCCATCACTCTCACGGGACTTCCTGTCCCTTCAAGACCAGGGCTGGAGTGTCTCTACTTGGTGTTGGGCGACCGAGACAGATTGGGGATTCTGTTGGTGTACCGTGCACCCTTCTGCCCAACAGTCTCCCTGCCTGAGCTGACGGAAACGGTCTCGGACCTGGTGTTGAGGACCCCCAGGATGCTGGTCCTGGGGGACTTCAATATCCATGCCGAGGCTAGTTTGACCGGGGCGGCTCAGGACTTCATGGCTTCCATGACGGCCATGGGGCTGTCTCAACATGTCACCGGCCCGACCCATGAACGTGGACACACTCTGGACCTGGTTTTCTCGACGGGGCAGGAAGAGGGTGGTCTGAGGGTGAGGAATTTATGCTTGACTCCCCTGTCATGGTCAGATCACTTCCTAGTGAGGTTTGTGCTCGAGAGCGACATCTCCCTCTGTAAGGGTGCAGACCCGATTGTGTGGGTCCGCCCCCGGAGCCGGATGGATCCGGAAGGATTCCTGAAGGCTCTGGGGGAGTTTCCGGCTGACAAGACGGGTGCTCCTGTCGAGGCTCTGGTTGAACTGTGGAATGGGGAGATGACCAGGGCTGTAGACACGATCGCTCCTAAGCGTCCTCTCCCACCGGGCAGAGCCCGCTCTTCCCCTTGGTACACTCCAGAATTGAGGGCAATGAAGCAGGTTGGGAGACGACTAGAGCGTAGGTGGAGGAAATCACGTGATGAATCTGACCGAACACACTTAAGAGCCCACTATCGGGCCTATGCTGTGGCGGTAAGGGCGGCGAAAAAGAGACACTTCTCCGCTTCCATTGCCTCCTCACAATGCCGTCCGGCGGAGCTCTTTCGAGTGGTGCAAGGCCTGGTTCACCCAGGGCCAAAGGAAGAGCTGACTCCACCCTCAAAGGCCCGCTGTGACGACTTTGCCGAGCATTTTAGGGAGAAAATCGCTCAGATTCGTCACGAGCTGGATTCCACTATTGATTCAGAGGTTTTAAGGGAGACACCAATGCTGCCGTCTGGTCCAGAATTATTGGATGAATTTCAGTTATTGCGGCCCGATGATGTGGACAAGGTGCTTGGACGAGTACGTCCTACCACTTGCCTTCTGGACCCTTGCCCGTCTTGGTTAATAAAGGATTCCAAGCACGGGATTGGAACCTGGATCTTGGAAGTGGTTAACGCTTCTCTGAGGGAGGGTCGGGTGCCTGCCCCTTTAAAGGAGGCGGTAGTCCGACCGGTCCTGAAGAAGGCGTCACTGGATCCAGGGATGGCCGCTAACTATAGACCAGTGGCCAACATCCCGTTTCTGGGCAAGGTGTTAGAGCGAGTGGTGGCGGGACAACTCCAAGCACTCTTGGATGAAACTGATTATCTGGACCCATTTCAGTCCGGCTTCAGACCCGGGTACGGTACTGAATCTGCCTTGGTCGCCCTGTACGATGACCTGTGCAGGGAGAAGGACAGGGGGAGTGCGTCCCTGTTGGTTCTCCTGGACCTCTCAGCGGCTTTCGATACCATCGACCATGGTATCCTTCTGGATAGGCTGGCGGGATTGGGGGTCGGAGGCACCGCTTTGCGGTGGTTCCGCTCCTATCTCAACGACCGATTCCAGAAGGTGGTGTTGGGGGACTATGGCTCTGCGCCATGGCAGCTTTGCCATGGGGTACCGCAGGGTTCCATTTTGTCCCCTTTACTGTTCAATATCTACATGAAACCGCTGGGAGAGGTCATCAGGAGGTGTGGGCTGCGGACCCATCAGTATGCTGATGATACCCAGCTCTACCTCTCGTTTTCCACCAATCCAGGTGAGGCAGTGGCTGTACTGAACCGGTGCCTGGCCGAGGTAATGGGCTGGATGAGGGCCAATAAACTGAAGCTCAATCCAGACAAGACGGAGGTCCTGTTGGTTGGCGGTTCGGGCTTCAGAGAAGGTGACCTGAACCTTGTCCTGAATGGGGTTGCACTCCCTCCTAGGGACAAGGTCCGCAGCTTGGGAGTGCTCCTCGACCCGGAGCTTTCACTTGAAGCTCAGGTGACAACAGCGGCGAGGAGCGCTTTCCTCCAGCTTCGGCTGATTCATCAGCTGCGCCCCTACCTGGAGTACGACTGCCTTGCAACAGTGACTCATGCGCTGGTGACTTCCCGTCTTGACTTCTGTAACGCGCTCTACGTGGGGCTTCCCTTGAAGACGGTCCGGATACTTCAATTGGTTCAGAATAGAGCTGCCAGGCTGCTGACGGGGACTGGACGTTATGTTCACATGACGCCAGTTCTCCGTCAGCTTCACTGGCTCCCCATTGAAGTCCGGGCCCAATTCAAGGTGTTGGTAATGACCTATAAAGCCCTAAACGGCTTGGGTC